TTCGTCGGTCATCCGACGTGACGTCGAGAGTGACCGACTGAAAGGGAACAGCTGCCCTGAGGCATTATGAGTATGGTCGTCAAATGAACTGACTTGCCTTAAAGGGGCTTTGTCTCTAATGCTTTCCTGGGTCTGTCCCTTAGGCCATAAAAAGAGAGACTCCACTGATCTGCCAATGATACAAAGTTGAGGAAAGACAAAAAAAAAAAGACCAACAAACACTGGGAATAATGTTTTTTAAAGCAGTTTTCTTTTTGCCTTGTGTTGCTTAAATGTATTGTCAAATGATTATAGTATTATTGAATTATTAAATATTATTAAAAAGTATTATTAAATAACACACACACACACACACACACACAAGGTATAAACCATACTATGTTTTTTGCTATTTTTTATTTATATATTTTTTTTTAAAGGAAAACAAGACAAAATACAGATCATTGCATTTTTAAAAGGGGGACAGTCTGCTGTGTGAGATGAGTCAGTTCATCATGTTGGAAGCTTAAATGTATTGTCAAATGATTATAGTATTATTGAATTATTAAATATTATTAAAAAGTATTATTAAATAACACACACACACACACACACACACAAGGTATAAACCATACTATGTTTTTTGCTATTTTTTATTTATATTTTTTTTTTAAAGGAAAACAAGACAAAATACAGATCATTGCATTTTTAAAAGGGGGACAGTCTGCTGTGTGAGATGAGCCAGTTCATCATGTTGGAAACAGAATTATCCTGAAAGTGATCAGGAGGCAGATGTGACCGTCAGCGGCTGAGCTAAAACAGCAGCGATGCTGACCTCTCATTCTCATTTGCCACTCCTCCTTAGCAGACCATCATTACCACCACCAGACCAGTTCAGACACACTCATAAATACTCTCAGGATAAACACTTGCAGCACATGGACCCGTCCCTCCCTCACTGCTGCAGCTGCACAATCTAATTGCCTTTCACTGCAGAAACACCTGCCGCTCAGAAAATGGAAGGTGATATTCAGTATGAAAATGCATATTTGCCAAAACACAAGCATGCCACCTCACAGACTTAACCAAATTTCATCTGTCTCAGCCTGTTTTTCTACCCTGATAGAGAAGTTTAATTTCTGAGCATTAAACAGCCTCCCTTCATAATGCTTTATAATTGACGTTAATGTGAGATTTTACAATAATGAGCTTGGTCTGAGTCTGCTATCAGCCCGCTTGCCTGACAGCGCACTCGCACTTACAATTCATCCAGTGAACTGAAGAAAATTGAGTTTTAGACCCCAAATCCATTAACAAGCGACGTGTGCTGTCTCATACTGAAATAAACTCTGACATACAAATATGAACTCTTGCTAACTCCATATGAGCTTGTTATGTTTTGGTTTTGGGGGTTGTTATGGACAATTACAGTTGACTGACTGCAGTGATTGACAATAAATGAGTAGAGAAAGAACACGGCAAGCTTGATTTGGTTTTCATTGGTGTGCATTAGTGAACTTTAATTTCTGTAAGACTCGAAGTCTCCGATTGAAATTGAGAACTTAGAAAAACATGGTAACACTTACAATAAGGTTCCATTTGTTAACATTAGTTAGCTACATTAGTTAACATAAACTAACAAAGAAAAATACTAAAGCATTTATTAATCTTAGTGTTGATTCTTAAAGTTGAACAGTTGTATTTTTATTAACTAACGTTAACAAAGATGAATAAATACTGTAACAAATGTATTGCTCCTTGTTAGTTAATGTTAAATGTTGCATTAAATATAGTTTACCTTATTGTAGTGTTACCAAAGCATCTTTTGAAATTAATCTATTGTACTATCATACTTTTAGACAAAACAGACATTTTTTTTAAATTGTGTTACTATCATATTTGATACATCAAGGTTTTAAAATAATTTTTTGAGCATCACTTTTTTTTTTTATAATTTGCATTACATTTAAAATCTTTTAATAATTTCTCTTAATTTAATTAAAATATATGATAAAATTCAATAACAATGATGATTGAAATCAATATACCTCAAATACCTAAAAAGCAACTGTATAAAACTAAAATGAAGTGTCTCAAATCTATAAAATGTATGAAGTCATTGCATACAGATTTTCCAGGAAGACATTTTGGAAATGTTATTAGAAGTCCAGTGTTATGTAAAGCCCATTTTAGGTGTTATTCTGTTCCCTTCATAGTCCCTTCACATATAGCAAATATGCCTTGTATAAGTTATTACAAAATTTCTTTAAATATCTTTTACTTAAAACAATAATACTAAATTAAATGAAAAGGTGTGGGCGGGTTCTAATCACTTTTTTGCCAAATTGTAATTTGGTTCTTACCACTTTTTGAAAATCATTGCAAAAATAGCTTGTGGAACTTATGTACAACACAGAAAAGTTGTCCAATCCTTAATTCCTTATAATTTAATTCATAAAATGTACAAATTACTTTTGCATCGTACTCGTTTGGTGGTCGATTGGTTGGCCGGTTTATTATCAGATCTGATGACACAATACTATCTCACCTAGCTTCATGTGGCCATCAGCAAAACCGCTGCTAAAGTGGTGATCGACTGCAAAACGGTGGGAGAGAAATCCATCAATGCTGCAGGGAACATCACCATTGATGGAGTGGAGGTTCTGGGACGCATGGTCCGCTCGCGTGGAAGGAGAGATAACTCAGCGCCGGTAAGACCACAGTCATTCAGCCTCAATCCTAAAAGACGAGAATTTCCCAGGCCTGAAAGAATCATTTGAGCCCATAACAGGACCAGCTTTTGTCTCATACAGACACAAAGAACTCAGTATACAAGTGGAGCAATGTCTTTGTTTGGAATCTGATAATTATTAAAGATGGTCTGAAACTCTGAGGCCTTTAAAAGCACAATTATCGTCTCAGATTCAACCTTATAATGATTTTGTGGAATCCAAAGCATAGGCATTCGGTTCAAGATGGTAAATACAGACTTTATGCCTTTTGGTTTTTCCGTCAGAATGTGTGGATCATTATGTCTAATTGTGTAGGAGTGCATCTGATTTGATTCTTCTCAGAGGCTGCCGGCACAACTGATGAGACTAATTGTCTTTGTAATTATGCTGGTGGGGGTTGTAATGTGAGTTTGTATGGTGCAATAGTTTAAAAACTATTAGAATCAGCCCAAACAAATAATCAGACGCATTTCAAGCATGACTGTTAATAAATGCATAAAGTTTCTGCTTATTTAGATTTTGTTCATCCTCAACAATGATCCCCTGTAATTTGTTTAGACTTCATAAAATGATTGTGTTGATAAGATTTGTAATGCATTTGTTGTTAAATGAGTGATTACTATTCAACAGCCTTGTATTTTTGCTCTGTCTGTGTTTGTTTTTATGATCTTGTCCACAGTTTCAGCTCCAGATGTTTGACATAGTCTGCAGTACATCATGGGCCAGTCGGGATAAGTGCTGTGAGCTTCCAGGCTTGGTAAGACCCGACCAGTCGGTATTTTATACAATATATTAGTTTTATACAATCAGCATTTTTTTGTATAAGCCACACTCTAATCAGCTTACATTAATACTGCAGTTCTGTCACTGGTGAAATATCAGACATTTAACCCCAAATAACTTAACTACAATGTAAAACTCTAATATACATTGAAGACCAATCAGCACCCAATACAAGCACCCACATTTAGTGTTCATAATTACTTTAGAATTGATTATTGATGTACTAATTAGTGTAACAAGCATTTAATTACTGCAACCTTATCTGGGGACCATCATCGCCCTGGGCGTCTTTCCACCATGTTTTGTCATGGCTAAAATGAAATAGCTTTATGAAATAGCTTGCAGCAGGAATGTATCTAATAAAGGTTCAACAAACAAATGTGTTCCTGCTTCTGAAATACATCCACTGACATGCTACAAATTTGGTTTATTAAAATAAAGTTATGTGAGGGTGGATTTGAACCTCTAGGCCAGCAGCGCTGATCCACTGATTTATCCTCTGCATCAAAATCTCTAGACTAATTGTGCACTGTAAAAAAATATCCAGTTAAATTAAGAAAAAAAAAAAAAAATAGCAGCTGTGGTTGCCAGAAATTCACTGTAAATAATAATGTGAAATTGTTTTCATAATTTTCATCATTCATCAACTTATAAGCTTAACCATATATTTGATTAAGACATAATGTTAAAATACCACTCTACTTGAACTACCAAAAATATTGGTGTGGCATATGTAAATATGAAGTTATCAATTTAAATGTTACAACTTCTGGCTGTCCCTGCAAATTACTATGTAATGGAAAAAAAATAGCAGCTCATTGTGCAACGGGTGTTTATTATTTTCTGCAATGTTATTCTTAGCATTTCAGTGACTTGAAAATGAGTAAAGACTCCATAAAACAGTTAAATAACATTCATTGTAGTGGTCGACCGATATATCGCCAAGGCCAATATATCGGCCGATATCTGCCATTTTTCAAATATCGGCCTCGGCCTATAATTTTCTCTGTTTGGCCGATGTGTTCGAGGCGGGATTTACAGTGTTTTCTTCCTTTTTAATTATATTTTTATTAAATATGTATTTATTTGCGAAAAATACTTTGTCTTCTAGAGTATAAGTATGCTTATTTTACACGTTTATTTTTTTAATCCATTTTCAAATGATTTCAAATTTCTTAAATATGAATTAAAATAAATGCAATTATATCGGCCATCGGCCACCCTGCTTTCCAAGATATCGGCATCGGTATCGGCTGTCAAAAAACCCATATCGGTCGACCACTAATTCATTGTATATGCAAAAAATAAAAAAGTCAATAATGTAAATAAAATTGAAACGCTAAGTCTAAAAAAAAATCACTCATGTAAAACAAAAAGCTAATAAAATGACCATAAGCAGCCTTGTAATTGGCTATCACTATTTATTAAGGTTCTCTGCTGTGATGGATGGTTTTATGGTTTTATGCACTGCCGGTAGGCTTGTTGGATTGGTCATTCAGTACATCGGATGCCTTAGCGATATTACTCTTTGTTCTCTTGTATCATTTTGGCTACTTACTGTATATAATGCTGAAAAAATTTTCTCTTAAGTGATCTCCAACTGGCCATTCTGGCAATCGTCCCTAACTTTAAAGATCCATGACCACTCTACAAATAATTCAATTATGTAGTCTTGTAGCAGACAAATAGACTTGGTCCTCCATGGATAGGAAGAACAATATCTCCAGATCGCTTGCTGTGTTTGTGCACTTGCGAATTAATGACTTGAAGGAATTGCACAGACACCCTTGGTTGACTTGGAAAAAAAATAAAGTTCTGTTAGATTCCTAGAGAGGAAATAGTCCGCTGTTTGAAATAGTGTACGACATGTTGTTTTGTTTGTGCTTTCCTCAGAGAGTAGAAGAGGACTGTCCTGCCATGCCCCATGCCTGCACCTGTGCTCAGGATAGCAAAGGACCACCTGGACCCTCAGGACCCCCGGTAAAACCACTGGTTTCACCTCTCACTAACACCCAACCTTAGAACTGTGGTACCTAACTACATCACAAGGCGAACCAGGGAGATTCGTAACATAGGGTTGTAACATAATCAGTTTAACTAACTAGCTGACAGTTACAGGTGAGGTGACAGCTCTTGTTATTTTATGTGCAAAAATATGATTTACAGGACGAAATAACAGTTTTGAGGTAAGAAAGGGGTGTTAGACTGACAAAGTCACTTTCATACCCCAGCATAAAAACCACTGTAGCTAACACACTTTAGCTGACAAACTCGCTATCATGCGTTAACATTAAAGCCAGCTGACATACTTTAGTTGAGAAACCTGCTTTCATACTTTAGTATTTGCGTTAGCTGACATATTTTAGTTGACATACTTGCTATCATACCTTAGCATTAGTTAATTTACATGCTTTTACTGATAAACTCACTTTCATACTCTACGTAGAATAAAAGATAGCTGACACATAAAAGATGTTGATGCATCTGCCATCTTGGAACAGTCAACATGTCATCACTCACAGTAAAAATCAATGAGTTTTCCAAGATGCCACAACATTGCGCAGGCTCTGGTTGTAAAAACCACCAAGATTATACCATACTCTAGCATGAAAGCTAGCTGACATACTTTAGCTGGCAAATTCACTCTTGTACTCTAACATAACAGCTAGCTTAGGACTCTGTGTAATATATAGACGTTTGAGAAAGCATCTGTATATTTAGTGCAGTGCAACAAAGACTGTTGGGATTTGTGACTTTCATATGACCACATGATCATGATTAGTCTCCAGTAGTATCCCAGGTTTGGGTGTCTTTCTCAAAAGGCAGAACAGTAATGGATCTTTGTGGAACCAGCAACTTTTCAGTTTTTAGTCTCAAGCCTTAACCATACCACCTCTCTTTAGAGAAAAAACACAGAACGTGTTAAGACGGAGCATGAAGATATTAAAATGAAACAGGGAGACTGCTTAAGAGATTGAGAAAAAGACCTAGCATTAGATTGCTCAATTCAGCCCATGCTGCAGGTTGAACTCAATATGGCGGGAACAAATAAATGAGCTCATTTGGAAGGCAGCATCGTATGCACCCTGAGGGAAAATGTATTTCTGAGGCCTCGAAAAGGCCATGGTGTATAAACAGCAGCTCTTTCGAGAAAGTAATTGCGAGGAGATCGATTTATCAAAACCGATTAGTCCACTCCTGTCCTGTCTGCGTTTATAGATTCCTTCATCCATACAAACCCATTTCCATGACCAAGAAGTGGTTGCAAGGAAAACGATTGCATTTCAGTTTTGTATATATTATTGCTGCATCTTCATATTAATATTACTGTCATGTGTTCTTAAGTCTTTCCTATGATTACACCGGCTGCTCAAATGAATCGAAAATGTCCTGTTAAGTCATCACATGCATCTTTCAAATTAATATTTATGCTTGCGTATTCTCTGCTTCCACCGTCACCAGCAGGTTTTGTTAAGTGTGTTTTGAACAAGCTCATGAATCAAATTTGCCCGTAGCCTTCAGTGATAAGAACTACCTTATTGCAGCCATGGCCATTGAGGATGCAATTAAAGGAAACACGGGAAAAGGAAGACGTGCAAACAGGGTTAAATTACTAGCAGTTGCCTGCAGCAGTGGGGGCAAGAGTTTATGAGGGTCAGAAGCAGGCGGGATATGGTTTGAACCAGGTCAAGGATACTCTCCACTGAACTGCAGGCAGATTCCATCTGATATTTTTGAACTAGCCAATTTTGCAGTGTTTGAAACAATTTGATAAGGAAAATGGTTTGGTTTTACCAATTGACCAATGGACAGTAGCCATGTTCCAAAATCTAGTGAGCTGCCCACATAGGAAATATTTTCAGAAATCATAGGCGTTCTAACATGAAGGCTGTTCCAAAAGACAAATTAAATGCATGAATTTAAATTCTTTCATCACTCAGCCAAATATCATTCACATATGTCATTTACTTTCTTTAGATTTTTTTTTGGCCTTATGATAAAAGTCAAAGGGCTGTTTTAGCCACATTTGACTTTCTTCAAAGCGACAAACTCAGTGAAATTATCTATCCACAATGTGTATTTCATTTAAAATTATTGCTGTATATGTACTTTTGTAAGAGCAGTGGTTCTCAACCTTTTTGAAGGCCCCCATTTCCACAACAAATTTTGAAGGCCCCATGACCTTTCCATTTGTTTGTGATTTTCTGAATAAGAATTCATTTTAAGTATTTAAAAATATTTTATTGCCAATTTCTGCCTGACGAAATATTTTGGTGTGATATATAAATATTTTTAAAAGAAAAAAAACCCCCTGTTGGTTTTCAGTTATTTTGGGTCATTTTAGCGCTTGTTTTATCCTGTTCTTCTTATTTTTTAAGTCATCCTGAGGCTTCCTTGGAAGTTTGCTGAAGTGCCCTAGTGGGCCCCGTCTCCCTGGTTGAAAACCATTGTATTAGAGCAGGGGTACACAATCCTGTTCCTGGAGATCTACCTACCTGCTGAGCTCAGACCCAACCCTGATCCAACACACCTGTCTGTAATTATCAAGTGCTCCTGAAGATTTTAATTAGCTGTTCACTTGTGTTTGATCAGGGTTGGAGCTGAATTTTCCAGGAACAGGATTGTGCACCCCTGTATTAGAGTATATTTTGCTGTTACCTTAGCAACATACTAACGTCAAACTCTGTTGAAATCAGTTACTAGTTGAGTCTCATTTGTGGTGCAGCTTTGTAGAGTGTTCCGAATCTGAATTCTGAATCAGCTCAGTATGCTTTGAAACAGAGTTAGCGAAAGTGTTTAAAATTGCTTGACACATGCCCCAGCTCTGGTCACTAGGAAAACTTATTTGCTTATCCTGAGTCTTTCAATTTGTGTTTATCTAATTGTGTGTGTCTGACTCTCAGGGCGGTCCTGGTATCAGAGGTTCAAGAGGAGATCGGGGGGAGCCAGGCTTGACGGTAAAGTACACATATGCTTTATGTATCCCATATGCAGGGTCACTCAGAGTTGTCATTATATCCCGAAAGCATAGACACCGGACAAGAGCTCAAAACGTGGGAATCTATAAATACACACAATGCATGTGCCTTCATGTTGTTTTTAGAGGGTACGGACCCTCTCGCTCTGGTTTTTCTGAGAGCTTGCTTTGTTTATTTGTGTCTCTCTGTCCAACTGTAGTTTCCTGTAGAGTAAAGTCCTTCTAGATGTGTGTGTGTCCATGTACAGAATATATCATGCTCCAGTCCAAATAAAGCCATGCTGGGGCAGACATAATTTCATTTCACGCTCCAAAGTTTTATGTAAACTTGGTCCAAATGACCGCCACTAAGAGGTTTGTGACAAGCTAGACTGTGACGAGTGTCTTTTGCTTCCTTGATTATTGCATTCCTGATGGAGAAGGAGACTGCCGGGCATTCACACTTTGTTTCAGCAGCCCGGCTGGTGGTAGGCCTAAAATGTTACGTAATTATATTGAGGAAATTAAACCCGGCAATGAAACCATGATGATTTTATAATGGGGTTACATTTATTAAGATAATGTCCTAACTTTATGTTCAAGGGGCCTCAAGGGCCACCTGGTGAGATTGGATCTCCAGGACCGCAGGGACCACCGGGTCCTCAGGGGCCGAATGGACTGTCCATTCAGGGGTCACCGGTAAGCGAAATACTGACTACTTGGATTGTTATGCATAGTTTGTTTCATTCTTTTTTATTAATTTTGCCTTTTTCTTTTTCCAATTCCTCTCTCCTCAGGGGGCTCCAGGAGAAAAAGGAGATAAGGGTGAAATTGGTCTGCCAGGTCCTCAGGTACGGGGAAATATATCACCTGCTTGTCTCATCAGCACTCATGACAGCTTCATAACACCCACACAGTCTCTCATTAGCTAACCTCATCCCCTCGGTGAGAGTTAGAATTATCACTGTCCCATGAGTGTCTGTGTGTGTGTAGCTTGTGAAAGTCGTTCATGTGTGTCTGTGTGTGTCTGTATGTGCAGCTTATCCTGAATGTAAGAAAATAGTTTAATATAAATAGATTAATACATACACGGATAACTTTCTTCATTTGGCAACCTAATAGAATCAACTAGTGCCTTAAGGAATTACTCAACCTTCCTGACCTTAGATATATCTTGTATATATCTGACAGTATGGCTGTAACTATTGTGTAGCACTAACCATGTTTACATTTTTTGCTAAATTCAAGTTTTTTTAACAAGAATCTCTGCCAACATACCTCTGCCTACATTATGGTTACAGGGCCGGCGCCAAGGGGGGCATTCTTGGGCCATACCCCCCCCCCAAA